ACTGAAAAAATAACTGGGTAGTAAGTACCCAAAAAAATGGGTCATAATTACTGCAACTCAGACAACCCAACAGATGGGTCATTATCACTTGCTCATGGGAAGAGTTGAAGTAACCATAAAAACTAATGGTTAAAATAGACATGCACTGTAGTTGCAATAACCCTTGAGTCAAGAGTTTATACAACCCAAAGCAGAAGTAAAACAACCACAATAAAGTTGTTATAATCCAGTTACCGAATAGGTAGTTTTAACATTATCGTAGTAAAGACAACTATAGTGATGGTTAATACAACCTTACATTAGAGGCAAAGTGACCTAACTACACAGGTAAACTAACCATATATAAAGGTTGGTAATAGAATGCAGAGACCACTTGGTATGGGTTGATATAACATTGTAAGAGTAATTATAACAGTATGTAACAGTAAAAGCAACCCTTCATGAAGGTGTGTTAACCATATTTTGATGCTATATACAATAGCCAGTTGATTCTCAAAACAATGTAGAATGAGGTATGCATGAATCGGATGAATGTGGTGAGAAGTGATGAATAAATGATGAAATAAGTGAGAATTGAGTATTTTGGGGGTTCCAGAAAGTGTATTACACTAACACAAATGTTTCTTAATGTCAGAAAGTACAGCAATGTACGAGCTTGGTCTCTTAGCTGAATCGGGGTACCCAAGAAGGTAGTCTTGAAAAAAGAAAAAGATGTTGGAGGCTTTGGTAGTGTATTCCAAATTGTATACATAGTAACAGCCGAAGGCCACAAATAGTGCTTGAGAGAGAGAGCTAACTTGACAGAGCACACTCTGCTCCATCAGTACGAAGTATTGTCTGTTCCTTTCGCCGACCATAGCTGCCACCCGAGGAGCATTCCGTATTGGCACACTTGTTATGGCATCCTCAACAGACACTACATCCTGAATGGGGGAGGTACAGAGTGTGATCACATTAACACAACCCACAGAGATAATACACAAAGATCAAGGTTACTATATTATATATACTGTATCTGTAGGTAAGTAAACAAGTAGACAAAAGCAGACACAACAACTAAACTTACAGAGTTGTACTCCTCATATATGTAAATGAGGCTGTCAAGCCCCTTTCCCACGGAAATTGCCAACACTTTGAGAGCACATACTTGCTGTGAAACCTCATCTGTAATGGGATAGACTAAACGTAAACATAACATGGACTATTTGAAACTCACCATCCTCATCCACTTCCTTTATCACAGAAGAAATCCCTTTTCTTCCACTGTTTTGCCCATAGAGGAGAGTTGCACAATAGAACTTCTTCCATTGGGACAAGAATGTCCCTCTACTGTCTTCATTGCCAGTGATTAAACCAACTTCTTGTTCAATCTAAGAATTAGAGGTACAGGCAATTACTATCACACATAGAACTGTTCCACTTCTTACCACTGCCTGACGTTGAAGAGCTGAATATTCATCAAGGATATGTTTGGCACTGGTGGCATCATTGAGAACGAATAGTCGACGGCTGGGGTATGTAGACTTCATCAGAGGGAGAAGAACGGAATCCCGTGGCTTTGCTTTCGCTAGCTCGATGCTTATAGCAGATAAATGCGACTCAGTGCTGGCAGAATCTTCAGTGAACTGGGCACCAGCGGGATACCTTCGTAACAATGAATCTTTTTTCCTGGCTTCAGGAGAAAGCTTGCTCCTTTTTGTGCTCTCAGAGAGAGAACCAGCACTGCTAGGCATCCGTTTACGATCACGTTTTATTACATTCCGTACCCTTTCCACCATTTTGTCTTCCCAAGATTGCTGTATGTATGCATAAAACACATAAACACATGCAGGCACATGCATGTTAAGGATACCAATTATGCAGTATGCTAAACATCATATTATCAGTACAGTCTATATAGGCGACCCAAGAAAAAGTGTAGAAATTTACAGCTAGGACATATGCCACACCTTCAATACCAATATGAGTTTCCACTCACATATCCATTTCCCATGTCATCTTTCATGAATGCGTGTTTGAGGATTAGCTGCCGTGCGAGGGATCCACATTGCTCTCGGGTTGGTTTAGCAAAGCGACTAAAGAGCAGACTGACAAGTGTGCGGACAATCTCACACCGAGCAGATTCTTCAAGCGATTCATTACGGATACACTCTTCAACCTCGGGGCGCCAGTGCTCGGGTATTGCGAATAAACGGGATCGGTTTGACTTCGATACAGAAGACCCAGGGGTCGACGGGTTAGACGTCTGAGAAGGTGAGGCCGAGGAAGAGCAGTCTAACTCTCCAGTACGTCTAGATGGCAATGGAGACGCTGATGGAAAGTAACTCTGTGTAAAAAACTGTTATACCTACAAATTGAAATAAACAGGAATGCAATTTACCTGACGAAGCTTGAGTATCTTCTTTACTAGTCCTATAGGGGGAACCATTTCCTTGATGTCCTGTTCAGTGAGACTAACGAAGGCTTCACCATCAATATAGTTTTCTAAAGAGGAAATGTACGTACACAAGTTTACGAGTTACGAAGCTAGTGGTAAGAGCTATCATCTAGCTTACCTGTGAAAGATTCACAGAACTTGTCTGGTATTCCACCATCCGTTTTTAGCCAGTTAGAAAGTTCATCCACCGACATAGAACTCAAAGAAGTAGCCATTGCAGCAGCAGGCGGCGAAGGACTACGGCAGCTGTCCAAATCCATCGTCCGCCACCTAGCTGCAAGCTTTCCCGCGTTTTTGAATATGACTTGCACGTGTAAGTCACGTGCGCTTTGACAGGTTTAAAGGTCAGCTAGCTATACTACTATTAGTGCGCACCACCGCCAACGAAGCTATGGCAGCTCACTCTTCAAGATTGTGTACGGGCGGCCCTTCTCTACACCAGAAGCAGTGTCCTATGTGTTCGTTTGAGTGTCCTTCTGTTGCAATTTTCCTGAATCTGATTGTAACTGGAAGTGCTTCTTGTTGCTTAGAAAGATCATTGAGATTGTGTTCTGCCCTGTAGTCACACATAGTATGGCTGACTCTTTGAAGATTCTAATAATTGAGCACCATAAAGCTTTTGTCTCTCTTTATCCTTCAGGCTTCATCTCCTAAAATGCATTTTCTAACACACTACCCAGAACAAATGCTTAAGTTGGGCCCCCATGTCAGAACCTGGACAATAAGACACGAGGCGAAGTTGAATTTCTTCAAGCAGACTACTGGGACATCGAGCTTTCAAAAATATCACTCTTTCTCTAGCAAATCACCATCAGCGTTTAGCATGCTATGAATTGTCTACAGGTAGTCTTTTGCGTTCCGTGCTGGAATGTGGACCTACGTCCACAGCACCTGTTACATTAATGGACGAAAATGAACTAATCCGAAGTTGCATCATTGAACTCATCCCTGGTGTATGTATGGATACTATAGTGTCCCGTCCTAATTGGGTTTGTCGGGACGGTGTTACGTACAAGAACAATAATGCTTATGTTGTTATTGGGCATGATGGCATGGACCCTGTGTTTGCTATTATTGAAGAACTTATTGTAATTGGTGGTGATATGGTTCTGTTCTGTGTTCGGAACTGTAACGTACGTTATTTTGATGATCATTATCATGCATATGTTGTGGATCTTACCTCTCAGAAGTCACTTATAGTTGAGTTACTAGATAGGAATGTGTATCATGCCCATGTCATGTCCAATGGTTTGAGTTATATCACTTTAAAACATTCGTTCATGTACATCATCCAAGAAATGTTACTCTAACCCAAACATGGTAATTTTACCCATTACTGTACTGGGTAGTTATTACAAACATAGTAGTTTTAACTAAACTGGGTAGTATCAACCTTCTTGGTAGTTGTAACTCCTGTTGGGTACTTTTAACCCATCGGCAAAATGGCATTTACAACCACTTCTGGTTGATATGACCAAAGTATTTTTTCAGTGTGGTGTTCTAGTTCTGAAGGTAGGCCCTACCCCTATATGATATGCTCATGAAGCCAGCTTTTTTACCTTTCAGAACTTGCTCTTCAATCTTCTTCCATGCAGCACCAAATGAGTTGACAACAGTTATATAACCATCGCTCCCCAATATCTCATATTGCTCTTCTTTGTTAGCTATGTCAACTATCTCGTAGAGCATTTGTGTTTCACTCCCACCAATTTTGACGGCAACTTGCAGTTTGCCAAAGAAGGTTACTGCTTTTTGAAAGAAGACAACCGTTTTCCTCTTTTTCCCTACTTCATCATGGAGATCATCTCTCCTATCGGACATTGTTGATATCTCTTCTTCAATTTCGTAAATCTCTTGATTAGCTTCCGAAATTCGCTGATTTTCTCTCCGGATGTCACTCCTGGCATCTGATATCCTATCATTAGCACAACTGATTTCTTTATCCGATTCCTTCAGCATCATCGACTGCTGCTTCGTACCGGGCCTTGTTAGTTTCAATTGCCTTTATGTCTGACATGAGTTTATTCATTTCCCTCTCCTTGTTGCCAATCTGTCGCATTAGAGACGCTTCCTCTCTTTCGATCTCGTCTCTTTCGTCTTTGAGTTGTTGTTCTTGCTGTTTTAGTTTCTCCAGCAATATAGGTACACTTTTCCTGATCGCATCCAAATGATGCTGTGCTGTTTGAGGATCGCTTTTCACTAGTAAACTCAGAGGAAACAATACTCCCAGAACAGCTCCACCCACAGCTCCTGCAGTAGCGGCCGATTTATCACTTTCTGCTTTTCTTTTCTTGCTTTGTGCACTTCTAAGATCGCGTCCAGCATCATCGACTGCTGCTTCGTACCGGGCCTTGTTAGTTTCAATTGCCTTTATGTCTGACATGAGTTTATTCATTTCCCTCTCCTTGTTGCCAATCTGTCGCATTAGAGACGCTTCCTCTCTTTCGATCTCGTCTCTTTCGTCTTTGAGTTGTTGTTCTTGCTGTTTTAGTTTCTCCAGCAATATAGGTACACTTTTCCTGATCGCATCCAAATGATGCTGTGCTGTTTGAGGATCGCTTTTCACGCACGCAGTTGCTCGTGAAATTAGATCGAATCCTGCAGTGGGCATGTAGACAGCCATTGCAAAGAACTTGGGAGGACGATCTAGCCTCGATGGCCAGTAACTGTTTCCGGGAGAATAGCTGCACGTCGGCACGAATGCGTTTCTAACCGGAAAGTTCTTATTTTTGTTAAACACCGTCCCGCGTTGTAGAGCAAGCTGCGGCCGCGCGCGCACCGCTGACCGAGAAGTAGGACTTCGGCAGCACGGTATTTAAGCGGAAAGTGCTTCGCAGTTTTTTCACTTTCTGACCGTCTTCGGGGAACAATCAAATCTTCTGCATTTTGAATGCGCAACAGCCATGTCCGGTCAACTTGTAAAGATCGGGGACGAGAGCTTCTCGATCAAAGAGATACCATCTAGCAGCACCGCACTTGTCCTGAAGAAAAAGGACATGATTCTTGGATCAGTCGATCTTCCTGCATTGGTTTCCGACTTGGGTCGAGTGGGAAATTGCGTCCGAATCGCATACAATGGAGTTGCAGGCTACACCGAGCTACAGATCGAAATACGACAAATTGGTGTCGATGTGACTAAGCTCTGCGATAAGTCCGCCGTGACAGTGGCGAGCTTCAAGGGGGCCTCCGAAAGCGTTCTCGGTCGTCTCAAAAGTACATACGGGTTTCTTCTTAGTGGCTTTGAGAAAATGGCTCTGGTAACCCTCAAAGCCGTTACGCAAGTGGCCAAGGAGATGTCTTCTGCTGCCGATGAGCTCCACAAAGAATTCGATGAACAATCGAAACGAGTCGAAAAGGCACTTAGCTCAACGATGGAAACCAAAGGATCCGAAGGAGATAGGAAAAAACAAATATCGGAGGAGTCGGCGAAGCTGCAAGTTGACAAAGCCAAGGCGGTGGAAGAGAAAAAAACGGCCGAACAAGATTTCGAATTATACGAAGAAAAGTATCAAGCAGCTGAAACGAAGCAAACGTCTTACGAGGCGAGCAGTCAAAACGTTTTAAAGAGGGTTGCCAATGTCTTTTTATCCCCCATTGCCGGTGGCAACGTTTTTGACACTGAAGGAGACGTAAGGCGGGCTCAGGAGGCACGTGAAGAAAAGTTACGACATCTTGAAGAAATGAGCAAGAAGAGGCAAGCGCGTAGTAACGCACTGAAAGATATCGCCGAGTTTGCGAAGAAACTCGAACAGTGTAAAGACGACAGCGAACTAGCCGATGTTGCATAAGACGCCCTTCACAGTGCCATTGGAGGTTTACAAAAGCTTTCTGCAACGATGATGAAGGCAGCCCTGTTCTGGAAACAGGTGCAAGTGCACTGCGAACGGTTGGCTCAAGAGAGGATGACGGAGTTGGTTGAAACCGCAATGACGATGGAGAAGAAAGACCGGCTCGCATTTTGGGAAGATCCCACGTTTCAAGAAGAGGCGATCGGTTACTACGCTGAGTGGGTTGCCCTAGATGACGTTTGCGGGATCTATATGCAGAAAATCAAGGAGACGCAGAAAGATCTCTATGGCTATCTCACCGAGAATCCAACACTAGCTCAAGCTAGGAGCAATGTTCGTAACCTAGCTACCAAGTTTCTCAAGGAAATATCTGCTGAGGAAAAAGCCATTGCCGCAAAAGAATATGCTTCGCAAGAAGAAATGAAAAAAATCGAGACCGAAGTGAAAAATAATTAACACTATTCTAGGGACATGAATGCGTGTTGGTCTGAACAGACTCGAATTTTAGCATGTACTGATAGTATTGTTACCTAGGTAGCCAATCGTCTGTATAAAATCCTTGTTAGAAATCAAAATGTATATATAATATGTATATGAATTGCTACCCCAAATCCGCTTCCTGGTGAGAGCTCTAACTCAAGTGCTCCACTCTTAGTTGATACTGTTCTTTCTTTTATCAAAGCTTTTCGTGACATGAAAATGCTTGTTAAGAGCAATGTTCGTAACCTAGCTAATGAAAAGCACTAAAGTGCAAACCCTCGGCGGTAAACTAGCGAGTTGTAGCATCGCTGTATGGGGCGCCGTCTGTCTCAAAATTTTGCAAATAGCTGTTTTTTGTTATCCCGCGCTTCATTTGTAAAATCCGCGCCGGTTATACAAATCCCTTCTGGATTATACATACCCCGGACTGGATATAGCATATCCCGCACTGGATATATAAATCCTGCACTGGATATAGCATATCCCGCACTGGATATATAAATCCTGCACTGGTAATAGCATATCCCGCTCCGGATATATGAATCCTGCACTAGATATAAATCCCGCACTGAATATATTATATCCAGTGCAGAATTTATATATCCGGAGCGGGATATGCTATATCCAGTGCAGGATTTATATATCCAGTGTGGGATATGCTATATCCAGTCCGGGGTATGTATAATCCAGAAGGGATTTGTATAACCGGCGCGGATTTTACAAATGATGCGCGGGATAACAAAAAACAGCCATATGCTAAATTTTGAGACAGACGGCGCCCCATATCGCTGTATGCGTCAAGAATAAGCGTCGACACACAGACAGACAGACAGACAGACAAACCAACTACCGTAACCCTCGCTGTACATGCGCGCTGAAGGTTAATAGCACTAATTGGGCGTATGTTTCAGATTTTTTTCCAATAGCACAGCTAAAACGCTCGTGATTTATAGTGAATTTAGGTATATTTCTCTGATTTTTCCTACCTTGTTTTCCAAACTCATTAGCATATTCATATTCCTCCTCCATACATTCTCTATGGGAGCGAACGGTCCGTCTCCATTATGCGTTCCTTCTGCCTCCTGCGGAACGCGCAGGCGTATTAGAGCCATCCCGAAGAATAGGCGTGGCCAAGTTTCGAGCATTACGTTTTCACGTTGACCTTTGCCACCCGGTCAAAATTAGCTTCCCGCGTACCGAAGCAGGCAAAGAAAGCCACTGCGCATAATGGAGACGGACCTTTCGCTCCTGGGTGAGTCACGCACGAGTTTTCTCTCCCATAGAGAATGTAATGGAGGAGGAATATGAATATGCTAATGAGTTTGGAAAACAAGGTAGGAAAAATCAGAGAAATATATCTAAATTCACTATAAATCACGATCGTTTTAGCTGTGCTATTGAAAAAAATATCTGAAACATACGCCCACGCACAATTCTCCGGAATCTCAAACGTGACAGTAAGCTACATCGTTCGCCTCACAGCCGTCTCCATCGTTCATTTTCCCCAAGCGCTGTGTTTAGCACACCTGGTTCCGACTATGGGGCAAGGTTAACCGGTACGATGAGGCGAACAATGTTGCTTACTGCCACGTTTGTGTTTGCGCACACCCGCTATCACCCAGTTCAAGCGCTGATTTTTTCACGGAACGTCTCCAATTTCGCGGAAGGTGTGCGCAGACATCAAGTGATCGCTTCTTTCTTGCCGCAAGTCACTACGGTAGATCATGGAGCTCTTCCATGGTCGACACTGAACAACGGCTAACTTAGCATCAAAGTTCAACCTCACAGTTCATGTTTGAATGGGCCCGCCCGGGCATGACATGTATACAGACAAGTTAAAAAACATGTAGGAAGCATAACACATGACTAAAGAAGGTGGGTCCATGGTAGTCAAAGAGTCAAGTAGAGTGCACCAGGAGTTGTCACTTTTTGTGTGGTTGGTGAACTCTGATGCGCGCGCACACATCCAAATTTATACCATGGTTAGCAAGACGGTTCATGGCGACAACAAACCACTAGTGGGAGGGATATAAGGACCCCTTTTGACAGAAGATATGGATATTCAACCACACGCCTCTTTCCAAATTTTTATTAACATCAGTGAGCCGCGCGCATGCGCCAGGCAGGGGCGTTGTTGTTCGCGCGCGTATTACCAGGTGAGTTTATAGACCTGCAGTGCCTTCTGTAAGTAAGTGCACACATTTACAACTGGCTAACTTGTTGTTGATTTGCACGAGGAGCAACTTGGCAAGCCATCCCTATATCCCCCTCAATTTAAAAAAAGGATTTTTCGACTTGTTAGCTTTACCTAGTTAGCACACTTTATTGGTCTCTATCATAATGTATGGCCTGGGGCAATTTTGTGTTGTTGACTTGTTTACAAACAAAATAAATATGGTCTTGCGCAACCTGTCATGGATTCCAATCATTGTGCGGTTTCATCTCCGTATCTTACCTTGTTCTTGAGATATACGCTTGGCGAAACTGAACAACAACAACAACAAACAAGAATTTTGATAACTAACTTTCTTGAATAAATCGATTACCAATTATGTGACTTAAGCCATTTCTTACGTCTCTTTTTGACGATATTATGGATCAGACTATAATAATTATAATAATATGTCAAAAGTTGGATCTGATTGAAACTGAAATAATGATAATCTCAAATGTATGGGCATAATGCAGGATGACCTGTGTCATCCCTAGAATACTGTAGTTAGTGATCAAGGGTATAGACTGCTTGTTGTGTGTCTTTGAATATCTACTGTCTGCAGTATTTGATATGGACTCTAGACATGCTACACTAAATAGCCACTGGCTGGCTGAGAACACAGTTGCCTCCCTGGAACTCACCAGATTCTCATACTGGCTGGTGTGACTGCAAAGAATAGCTTTTTAGAGGGTAAGGCTTCTGCTTTCGCATTATCGGAGGTATATTATGTACACGTGTTAGTCAGGTTTATCCATATCTCAGAGGTAGAAATGCATACATGGTTATTGGCAGGGGGCGGGAAGTTTGTCCACTGTTGGGAGGTTATCCTTTCTTCGGAGTGTCCACTATCAGAGGTTCCACTGTATACAATGGTGATTTTTTAGACGTATTCGATTTCTGGGGAACTAAACAACTGCACTTAGTTGATTGTGAGATTTCTAGGTATATAGCTATGTTAATTTTAAGCATACTTGCCACCATACCAGGAAAGGCGGGTAGCTACTAAGATTCAAAAAATATACATCTTAAGAGGCATTGCCATAAAACTTCAGAGGAGAGCAATGGCATTCGTTGTTAGTGTATCCACATGTGCAACACAGTGAATAATACTTTTTAACCCTTTGGGCACCATGTATAACATATTAGCGCCTAGTATTATATCCATATATAAATTCTTTTGCACTTATGGAGGCTCTGTGCATATATATGTAAATGGCGCCCAAAGGGTTTTAAGCTGCAGATGTCTAACATAAGAATGAAGATCATAGAAGCTACAAAGATTCCCTCCAGTGAAGGAATATCGTTACACTGCCACGCATGGAAGCATACCATGACCATGAGGCAAAATAACTTCCCATCTTTTAGAGCGCATGATGACAAACAATTCAGTTGAGTAAAGTTAATCTCAAGTACACAAATTGAAATGCATGACAAAAGAATCAGTTCCTAACCATAGCCATCATTTCATTCGTCGAGCATAACTATTCCAATTACTCGAGGCATTGTAGCCGAAGTAGTCACAAAAGAATGAGTCAATGGCATACATGTCGCCCTGTTTTTTAAGAAACCTTGTCCAGGCATGCAACTTCTCAAAGCCCCAGTCACCTGACCCAAATACATTATATGGCAAATCAGGATTCGTGTCCTCAAACAAAATGTAGTCACCAGGGATGAGGTGGCCATGAAAGTAATCCAAGACATTGTCCGAATTTTCATGCACATCTTCAATAAACGACTAGTGGATGTGGTTGCGATTTTAAAAACTCAGAGGGAAAAACTTCTTCGATTTTATAACAATCGCCCTCAATAAAAGACAAATTATGAGGTTGGAGGGACTTTATTTTAGGATGGAGAAGAGAGTGGTCTAGATCAACAGAAAACACATTGCACTCGATGTCGGCTCCGTTCAAGGAATCAGCCATCCATAGAGCTGAGGCTCCAGTGAACGTTCCAAGCTCTATCACAGTCCGTGGCCTGACGTGCCAAAGCATGTGGTACAAGATGGACAAGTCCTCGGGACCTTTGAGCATGTCGATGCCGCGATAAAAACCGATGTATTTCCCATCAGCAATAGCTTTCATGGCATCTGGCGGAAGGCTACTACGCTCTTCCCTCTCACTTATGAATTGAAACCTCTTGGGGCTACTTAGATGGCTCTGGAGGATTTCCAACTTCTTAGACATCACCTCTTTGTAGGCGTCGGGATTGTTTCCATACTCCGGCGACTTGTAACCCTCCGTGGAGAAGCTTTGCGCAAGAAGATACGAACGACCGAGTCGGTAATGACCGAGGCAAAAACCGGCGAGCTAGGGCCGCCGCCATGTTGCTGCTTTTAGGGAGAGCGGGGCCAATCCGAGAGAGAGAGAAGGAGGTCGGACACGGTCACGTGAATCGTATAAGAATTCCAATTAGCGCGTTGAGGAACTGACCTTCGACGACATGCCCGACCGTTCCCAGGCCTTCCGTGAGAGAGAGCGCTATAGGGCCAGTGACAGACAAAAGTTGAGTTGCAAAGGCCACAAACTTGTGGTTGAGACAGTTGAGCAAAGACACCATAAGCCTCCCTTTAAACCCTTGCTGCGCATGCACGCTGAGAGCCGACTTCGTATTGCTATTCATTGGGGGAAAAGCTCATGAAGTTCAGTTCAGTAACAAGTGGACATATGTCTACAGATGGTTATAAGAGGAGCAGTGTTTGTTACTTAACATCCGCTTCAACACAGCATGCCACTTCTAGGCCCATTGTGCAAGCAGATCTTTATGATTGTATTTTCTTTTCAAAACTTAGCATCGTGATTGTTAATACATGGTTTTGTACACAGCTAAAGTGGATGCAAACACACTCCTTATTACTATACTATTATCAGTTCTCGTACACCATGCATGCAGTACTCAGACTATGTAATCACTAAATTGAAGGGGCAGAGGGGAGGTAATTGACACAATCGGAATCACTCAGAAGTTCTCCTTGTTGTAGTAGAAGCGTGCGCGGGTGGAGTCGCCCTGTCGAGTGTACTCATTGCAGTATTTGTGGAGGTTGTGGGAGAGAACAGGAGGTCCGCAGAAAAACACCCCCACACCAGTGCTGCGAGGAAGGTAGAGAGTAGTTTGTTGGTTAGTGGGAGAAGCTCATTTTCATAAAAATGGACAAGCTGTTGTCAATGCACACAAACACGTACAGTGAAGTCTCGCTAATCCAAACATCTTAATGCAGCCAATGCTCATAATAAAGTAACTCTAAAATGCAGCCACCTCACTAATACAGCCACTCTTACATGTCCCAACTGCGGCTGGAATAGTGGGGCTTATCTGCATAATATATACTAAAGACATTACACTATAAACTAGAGGCTATGAGACTAGTGCTCGTTCTTCCCAAAGTGTATCTGATGAATGATGATATCTTGTTACAAATAACTATCTCTATGGCTTAATCTCCAGCATTCACGGAACATATATAGCAGATGAGAGTTATATAGACTCACTTTGGGTGGGAGAGAGAGATGCTGTCAAATTCCTTAGCCCAGTCGGGGCGGCCAAAGTGGGTTTTTGCCTGGAGGCCAGTGATGGCGTCGGCCTCGTCTCCCTCCCTCAACATGATGGCAAACGCCTGGTTGTCCTTCCAGCCACGGGTCAGGTAGATGTGGGTGTCCAGGAAATCACTGAGTATGGGAGAGAGCAAGTTGGAGTGGAAGAAGGGGAGCGAAAGGGACAAGTCAAATCAGAGACACAATTTTAATATCCCTTTGGATGCCATGGGCATCTTCTTAAATAAGCAGAATTTTATGTTTGAAAGTATTAGCGCCTAGTATTACAACCCCCATATAAATCCTTATGGACTTATGGAGGGTCTCTGGACACATTTATGTGTCCGTGGCTGGTTAAGTGTTAATGTAGTGTATACCCTTACATAATTTCACATTAGGTAACAGCTATAATAATTCTTGTGGAGGGACGCAAAAGATCCAGCTCCAAAGATCCTCTTCCTCTCCACGCAAATATGCTTATTTCACTAAGTCAACCTGCCTTGCACGCAAATATGCTTAATTTACTGTCAACCTGCCTTGCACGCAAATATGCTTATTTCACTACGTCAACTTGCCTTGCATGCAAATACGCTTTATTTCACTTCTTCAACCTGCCTTGCACGCAAATACTCTTAATTTCACTTCATCCGCTCATCTTTCCCCCCGCCATTGACCGAGTCTGACACCAAAGTTTCGGAGCTGCATACTTCGTAATAGAAGTCTCCTCTCTTACTGGTATCTTTTATTATGTAGCCCACATATACAGTATATATGTGTGTGTACCTTATTCCCTTCTCGGCCATCTGTTTCTCGAGAGAGAGGAGGAGGTCGGCAAACCACTCAAAGGCGGTGGGCTCGGGGCAGATCCAGTAGAAATAGACCTTCTTGAGTCGGATCTTGGTGTTCTCGTCAATCAACTTGTAGTAGACAGACTTGAGGATGGAGGCAAATGGAGTCACTCCAATCCCGGCACCCACCAGGACTCCGACCTCACGATCAAATACATCCTGAGAACGAGGAGGGAGAGAGAGAGAGAGAGAGAGAGAGAGAGAGAGAGAGAGAGAGAGAGAGAGAGAGAGAGAGAGAGAGAGAGAGAGAGAGAGAGAGAGAGAGAGTAAGAAGAGAAGGTGGAAGGCGGTGACAGGGGAAAGAGAATGGTGAAGGGATGGGGAAGGCAGGGGGAGGGGGGAGAGGAAGAGATGATTCCTTGAAAGTGGGCGACTAACAATATAACAATCACGTACTGCACTATAAAACTGCAGAATACACATAGACTATGGGCCTACTGCGAACACAGGCTATGGTCGTACTTCCAACATAGGCTATGGGCTTACTGCGAACACAGGCTATGGTCGTACTTCCAACATAGGCTATGGGCTTACTGCGAACACAGGCTATGGTCGTACTTCCAACATAGGCTATGGGCTTACTGTTAACATAGGATATGTATGTATGTATGTATAAGATGGAGTGTGTTGGGCAGTTGCCCCACTGACCTCACTAGCAGTACCGAAAGGCCCGTCAATGGCGATGCGAGGCAGTTCCCAGGACTGCTGGAAGTCGTCACGACCGATCCCCAGCTGACGGCCCACCTCCTCTGTCCAGTCTCCCACAATACGAATATGGAGACTGAAATAGTCCTCCTCTGGAGCCTGCATTCACACACACCAGTAACATCAATACAGGCAACTTTGGGTTTGCAGGTCTAGCGTGATCATGGCTCTCCCTCAAGTAAAATGTTTTGGCTCATCAAGTCCCCAACGCTGACAATACCACAGGACCATAGAGTCAAATAGCAATGTGCCAGGTTTTGGCTTACACATTTCACTGTCTAGGAACGCATTCAGGCGACTACAGGTAGGCTTGCTTCACTTGCCAACAAGGGGGCATAAGTCATAAGATGTGTTAAGAGGGCTTTCTGTGAACGTATTGGGTAACTGCAACACAAACGGTTGAAAAGTGCACACTACAGTTTGGGAGAAACTCACAGAGGTGAGGGTGAAGGGGTGCCATTCAAAGAGAGCTGCGGATGGCACGTTGACAAAGACGTACTGACCAGCATCAGCAAAGAACCCCTTGCTCCTCATCTGGATCTCGATGGTCTTGGAGGGATGCTCCACCACCTTGATGATGACAACCTTCCTCAGACTACGGAAGAAACGGACCGTACGCTCTATGGCGTAGATGATGAGTCCACCCAACATGTAGGCCCATGCCTGTGTGTGTGTGAGTTGGGGGGGAAGGAAAAAGGAAATAGGAGTGAAAGGGAAAAGGAGAGAGGATGGTGATTAAGAGGGGTACTATGCAAACTCTACTGATTCGAAACTGGACCTCATTGCTTGCACACACAATCCTCGGGGTCAGATTACCGTTCATTAACCCAACAGAAGTGTGTACCGAAGTAAAACATTGCGTTTGTGTGCAAAACGTCTATAGCATACTAGTTGTGAGAGAGAATGCACCAAAAATGTTAAAACACCACAACTCCCACACAAATACACAAACTCTCCGATTGAATCATTGGTGTACTGCAGTGTAACATTAACCTCTTGGCTTTATGAGACTGTTACGCAGTAGACAGGAACATGTACATACATACGTAATATGTACAAAGAAGAGCTTGATCTACACTATGTAAGAGCGATATTTCAGAAGAGCTCACGGTGGCAGGGGCAGGAGTGAATTCGGCAGGAGGACAGATCTCAATGGTCATCTCCTGATTGGTAGTGTTAAGGACCTCCCCAGTCGTGCGGTTGAAGAATCCAGAATCGGGGCCCACCTCACGGAACTGAGAGCAATTCTGAGGGTCGTGGTCGGCAATGTTTGTCTGGACTGGCAGGAGACGTCTGCGGAAGGACAACAGGGGCGAAGGGTGTACTGAAGTAGGCAATGACTCAAAGGCAGGATGGAAGGCACAATATAATACCTCATTCTTCAACCATGAATTCGCACACCTGGTCTGGACGCTAGCAATAACGGTATGTTTGTGCATGGTACGTTGTGATGTACAGTAGGTGTTACTGTAGCATGTGGGAACTTGGTTTTACTATGTAATAGCTACTGCAGCTACATCTGATGCTGCACATGCACATGTGTGTATATACATGCAATGAGTTACGACGCTGTTGAAGTTTACATCTGACTATATAATAATATGCAGAATGCTTCATGCTAACTTCATGACATATAGAAAAACAACTATGGGAAGGAGTGATGGATTGGGATAGGTAGATGGAAAAAAAAACTACTCCACACTAGTGGACTGACTCACTGGAATTGGTGGAAGGCCAGGCCAACCAGGAACACAATAAAGAGGTGGTGAGTGTACCAGAACACCTCAAAGTAGGACCGCCTGCAACAAAGAACACAAGCACACAATCATGCTATTGTGTGCTGAAACTGCGCGAGTCTTTATATTCTCAAAGACATTAATTTTATTCAAGTGAATCAGAAGATATGGTAAAAGGATATTAGTGAATCTCAAAAAAGGGCAAAGTTTATACATTACTGAAATACAAAAGGGGGGTAAATAGACATTATTTCAAGTATGTATTTAGGGTACACGCCAAAAAAAGTTCCCACTACCGTACCGCAGTACGCTCACACTGTAGTAAAACTACGGTCTTGCTACGCTGCTGCTACGCCGTAGCAACGCCGTACTACGGTGGAAGCCGTAGACCTGCTACGGCGCAGTACGCCGTAGTTTACTAACACCCAGATACAGTCCTCTACCAAGCAGCGTTGCATTCACACAGCGACAGTGCTGACGGCGAGGCGATCGATGGACTGCTCTTGCCGTGTTGATACGTGGTTTAGTGGGCGTGGTCGAACGCACACATACGCCTCGCTAGCGCACTCAACAGGCACAAAGGAGAGCGAGAAGCGATAGCAAGCAGCAGTAGCCTTGCTAGACACGACTGCGCTACAACGCTAGTGTTCTTAGCTTACTCTCAGCTTTAGAAACAACGCTCGTTGCTTGCTAGGCCTTTAGCTGCCACCGTTTACTTTACTACGGTGGGCCACACCCTCGCAGCGTACCGCAGCTACGGCGAATCTACGGTCGACCGTAGATTCGCCGTAGAGGCACCATAGAAAATTTTGCTACGGTATCACCGTACTACGGCGGCATAGTGGGAACTCTTATTTGCCGTGTATACATATACTGTATTCAAGTGCATGTCAAAATAGGGTAACTGGTCAAGTGAATCTAAAACAGGGTAAAAGGGGGGGTTCCCTGTGATTAAGGCTCACCTGATGAACTCCAGAGAGGAGGTGACCATGAGGAAGAGAGCAATGGTAATGATATGACCTGTGATGCCAGCAGCCGTCACGAAGCAGATGGTGATTGGATCCTGCACACAAACAACAAACACTAATTGGCGAGCGGGAGCGAGCCAACCTAGTCGTTCGTTCGAGCGGAATTTTCTGTGTATGTATATATATATATATATGCGTTCGTACGTCGTGTAAGTGCGCATGCACGTCTTTGTACGCGCTTCTCAACTCTCCTCCAATCGACGGAATGCGCTCGAACCTTCGGTGACTGACTAAAGCTAGCTGTATATACCTCTTCCCAATCTTCATGGTTCCAAGGTGTAACTTGCATAATACGCTGGGGCACATACTGCTGCATGCCAGTTACCAGGTGGACCACGACTGACGAGCTGAAAGCGTAAGGTAGGTAAGTACCGTTCTGCTCACCTGCTCACCGTTCTGGCAATATACAGTACGCATGTAACGGCGACAGGTAGATCCGTCTTGCTTCACGAAAAGAAAGCTGTGCGCTGACGGCACGTTATGCAGCCCGAACATCGCGGTCAAATCCCAAGTTGGGTCGCTCCCGCTCGCCAACAATGTTCAACATTTCCACTAGTAAATATATGACTGTAAGGACTGATAGGAAAAGGTTCTTGTCTCCATTATGTACACTACTCTGACACCGTAAGAGCTACACTGCCTTCCCAGCTACTGTAGATCTCTCATGGAACAAATGCAACACGTACATATTAGCGAGTAAACACAAGAAATTCGAATTGTGTTTCGCTGCTTATTAGGAACCGCAACTAACGTGACAATACATTGCACTGCCCATTACATGCATAGATTCGTGGATTTCAGAGGGCTAGGTGTGTATGTAGGCTCACTTAGCCCAACCAGAGGGATCCCGGGCTCAGTAGACAAGCCCAAAAAGTGTGTTACTTATGATGATCCTACAGTTGCTGTTCAACTCACAGGCTGGATGTCCGCATCGAGGTAGGCAGTGAGGTCGGGCTGGGCATTATTTGGGATACTCCGTATCCCCCAGGGAATCCTGGTTGTACGGCCATCGCGTGATTGGTGGATCAGTTTGTGTCCAGGAAGCCATCTAATAGTTTTCTTTTCTCTCATTCTTCTGTACCCACTTGCTGCAGTTCAATTGGCACGTGTTTATTATATGGCACTTGGTTGGACGAGGATCCGATCATCTCAGGCCTTTTGTTGCCGTTTGTGTGTTTTTTTACATGGTGAGGTTCTTGTCCAGGAGGACGTTTTGATGGTGCGACGTGTTTGGGTCACCATGATGATTGCGGGAGTGGCGTTGGTTGAGGGTCTGCCCGTGCCTTTTCTTCCTCTTTTTTTTTTCGGGGAGGGTGGTGTAGTGTGTTGGTTGAGTGTTTTTGGGATGCGGGGAGGGGGGGGATGGCTTAAGAGAAAAGATGATCCGTGCTGGGTCACCCCCCATCACCATTTTTAAACCCTTTGCACCGTTAGGTTTGTTCATTTAGTAACATTTGGTAGATTGCAAATTTAGTCCAAATGCAGTTTTTTTAAACAGATCGTACAACGGAATGTATGCTCTGCAGCACATCGATCACACTGCCAATTCAGTTGCCCAAGTGTAAGGACGCAAAAGCTATTTTAATGACGTTTTTGGAATGTATTTTATCACCCACAACGTACACAATAGAGTCCAAAGACAGAGAGCGGAATTTTCGCCGTCGCCTACCACTGCGCGTTTTTCCTCCTGCCATGAATGAGATGAGATTCCTGCAGGACTGGGAGGAGGTTTTTCATGGCGAGGAGCAGGTTTCCGGAACATGATGTAGTTGCTTTAGTGCATGGTTATATCACCTTCGTGTGACAAACACCTGCCATTTTTTGTCGCTTCTGCAATAGTAGGATTCGTTTTTTATTTTGACATTTAACTTTAGTATCATCACTATCTATTCCACACATGGGTCTGACGTATCGCCTCCTTGTTACCCGTTTGTACAGCACATGACATACATGTACTTGTTATAGCGCATTTAGATAATTATTACCACCCCTCGACGCGCCTTTTTCTTTTCCGTGCCACAGCGACGAGTTTACTTTGCGTTTTTTTAGCTTGTTGTGTGTATCCTGTTTCTGTCTGTTTGCTTACTCAGTACATGCCCACCTTCTCTTTTACGAGCTATGGACTTTTGCCTCCCAACCCAATTAATATTACCATCGATTCAGTTTCGTTTTGGGTAAGGTGGATATTCCACTAGGCGCGTCTCGGTTCTTCTGTAAACCTGCTGACATTTTTTTGAGAGGTATAGGACGTTGATAAACCTGAGCATATAAAAAAGGCCTAAGATATTATGACTACTCATTATCCCATCCTTGTTTGCTGGTTCCGCACTCTTGCTTCCTACTTCAGGGATCTTGATCGCACCATTCTATCTTCGAAGCTCACCAAAATGCAAGGGCGTTTTTTGGTATCAGAATCCTTTGTGTTTTTTATGCTATCCTTCTACTCCCGTAGCCATAGCCCGTGTAAGATTCTGCTTTTTCCCCCAATGTCCTAGTTAGTGGGGGTTTTGTATCACGAGTTTTTGTAAACATTTTCATTACTAATTTTTAGCATAGTCATCATTTCTTGCTTTTTTTTTTCCTTTTTTTTTTCCCCTTTTTCTTTCATTTTTTTCTTCCCAGTTTTTTTGGTACCAAGATTTTCCCTATGCTAGTTCGCAGAAGGTGCAGTTCAGTGCAAAGCTCATTCCATTCGCTCAGCCGAAACACTTCTTACATCACTAATTTTCTAATTACCGTTACGTAATAAGTATAACGGCCTACCTTTTTACCCGTTTTGTCATTAAATCGAGGTATTAAAAAGTTCTATACTACCCACACCTCCCAGTTTGCTTTCAGCTTCCTTCGTACGCATTTCCATGTTTTGTTTTTTTTTCGGTATCCTTAGTCCTTCCAAGGCCTATGGATACATGTGTAAATTCAGTTTGGGCAAAATCTACCGGTTCTCTAGGAATTCAAACTTTTTTTTTTTTCCCTTTTCTCCCTTTTTTTCCTTCTTTTCCTCCTTTTACTTTTTTTTTTTTTCCTTTCTTCTTTTTTTTTTCTCCTTTCTCTTTGTCTTGAAGTGAAACCAACATTTCTCACAATTACAGATTGAAATTCTGATCGTGACTCCGTAGTTAACTGATGTCAAGGGGCTTTGTTTGCAAGCCTCCCAACTCAGATGGTTGGGACTGCCCATCACTCCAGGGGCGTTATTAAATTCGTTTCAGAGCCATGGGGGCCAAACAAGCAGAGTTATTTGAGTTGAGGTTCATTGGAACCCTGGAGCAGAGTCCTAGGAATTTTGGTAAACATACACCGCACGTCTCAAACACTGTCCATCGGACTCCGCTAAGTTCCTGACTTACTCGAATTTCTTTGCGGTTAGTAGATATACAGCAAAGCAAAAAGTTTT